GTAAAACCGAACTCTCATGTCATTAGAAAGAGGATCATGAAAAACCTATAAAAAAATGGTTCATGAAATTTTAGTTCACTCATAAAGCTAAAGTCCGCCTGCTCTAGCAAAAAATGCCCACTGTGCATCAGCCACTGGAATTTGAAAACTGTAAGATATATTCAATGGAATATTAATGTATGATACTATATTGGCTTTCGGTGATGTATTTATCGTTCCATCTGGTCGTAATAAAACGTTAATTGTACAAGCTATACTCCAGCTCAATGCTGGGGCAGAATATAAACTCCATGCATAGTAAGGAGCATTCTGAAATGCAACGGTAAAATGATCGGTCGATACTAGATTAACAGTGTCAGAACGTTGCCCAGTTGTTGTTTGTAGATATACACTAAAATCTGTACAAGGAGATTGAACCATTAGTGCTGTGTAGCCAGTTGATGTATTGCAATTTGCTATACAAACTAACTGATAACTAGACATCCCCGAGCGAGTTAATAGTGTGTGTGCTGCTATCATAGTATTATCGCAATAAACGAGTGGATACGTCCAATCATAAGTTTGTGTAATAATGATTGACACTACGCTGCCGGTTGCCGAAGCGTTTATCGGTCGAAATGTCACTGTGCCGCCATTAAAATGAGCTGATTCAACGAACGTTATTAGAAGAATAATGTAAAATAACCGAATGATCCACATCACAGTAAACAGCTAAGCTAGGATATGAAAAACTGAATCATAAACGTCGAAATGTAATTCTATACATTTTTCTACGATACACAAAATCAGTATCTTCAACAATCGATACTTGAATGAGCACTATGAAAGAAAGTTTGACGTGTCAAGTATCTTTCTAAACTGGCATTGAATTTTTACACGGCTGAGACAGAACGATAAGCTGATGAATAAACGTGTGAGAAGAAATATATGTCTCGACATGCAACTGAACATAAAATCCACCTCATTTCCGATGAAAGTCCGTCACAAAAACGGAGAATAACTCTTCGCTTTACCATGCTTTACGGAAAAAATCAAGTAGATATTTGGATTGAACGCTTCGAGAGCTGTCAAACCATGTGTTTTGTTTTATATTTTACTTGATTCAAAGTACACACACGAGAATATCAATTTTTAACCTGGCTCTAGTCACATACTTTTTCTCTCAAATCAGCCTTAAAAGATCATCATCAGATAAAGTTTTTTGCGCCGATTCCGAATATCATCTTCAAGAAGGAATGAAACTGAAATTTTTAAATTCGATCAAAAATTTTGAAATTTTTTTATTTCAATTTCCTGACCCGCTTAGTATTTTAAAAAATTTTAAAAAGTGTCCGATGGATAACGAATTAAATTCTCTACAAAATGCACTATTGATTTTGTCAAAGAATCTTAAAGAATTGTACACACTAAATAAGTTTTTGATGGTTTTTGTCAAATGGTATTATTTTTGGAGCAGTGTTACGAAAATCAAAAACATTTCTTCCACCGTCTTTTTTTGCTTAGTTGGTTGGATAGAGGGCACTCGATTGCGAAAGGTTACATGCAAATCAAATTTATACAGGTATTGTTATCGATAGAAATATAAAACCCACCGCAAAGAAAGGAAAACAAATGATGTAATTCCGTCACGGAGCCATTTCGCTTGTTTCTTTCAATGTATTTTGTAAGTGAAAGTAAATAGACGAATCGAAAGCTCTTTTTACTCTCTACAACTTTTGTATTAGACTTTTTTTCTGAATATCTGTCGTTTCAGAGCATTTTCAAAGTTTGTAGAGCACTGGAAAAAAAGGCCAAAAAATGTAATTTCGTCACGACATCTAGATTGCTTATAAAAGCCGTTCTACTGAACCGATTCATTCCAAATTTTTATCAGAAACCAAGCATCCTACCACACATATTTGCGAAAAATTTCGTCAATTCTCGTTTAGTAATTGAGGAGAAACAGAACTCAGAAGTTGAAAAAATGTAATTTCGTCGCGCGCTTTTAGGCTGCACTGTGTAATACGATTCAAGCCAACTTTGTTTGTTTTCGTTAAACATTTCTCGTGCAACAAATAATGTCATTTGCGAAAAAGTCTTGCTAGTCTAATATATCATAACAGTTAAATAGTCTAATAAAAATCTATTTCTGTTGTTGTACTAAATTTCTTAGAATTAGATTCTTTACCAGTTTTCCTCATTGTTGTTATTTTTGTTTCGGATATATCTTCGTCGTCTGCGCCTAATGTAGTCAGAATCGATTCGTACACTTTTGTATCCATTTTTTTTGCTTCAATTAGACTTTTACTATTGATTGTTGGTGATTCTTCTATGAATATATGATGTTTCCTAACTTTTGATGTTTTACTATCGTCTCTTAGTGGGTCAATATTGTAGTCGATAGCTCCGTAAGACTGTGCCCAATAAATAATATCATCCAATGAATTTTGTTTTGTCTGAATCTGATGAGCTAAATCTTCATAAACTTTGTCTAATTCTATCTGATTTTCAATTTGAATGGCTTGACAAAAATCGATCAGAGTTTCTTTAATTAAATCTAGACGGTGTTCTTCTTCTTGTTGACAATCTTGAAATATCACTTTTACTCTTCTACAATACACTTTATTAGCATGATTGTAATTATTTTCAATAACTGCTATTCGACCACTTATTTTCTTCAAACTTCGACGTCGTTTTGTTTGCATTTCAATTGCGCGTGTTCGTTGTTTATCGGTTGTTGTCGAATCACTAAATACAATTTCATGTGCACTATCCGCTTTCTTCAAGTCCTCTTGTGCAATTTTGTAATCATTTTTTAAATTATCTAATTTTATTTTACAATCATTCAACATTTGATAAGCTTCTTTAAATTGCTTTTTAAATTCTTTTGTTCGTCGATGTTGCTGCGATGAGAAACGTGTCGGAATATACGTATCATTGACGATTGTTTTATATTTATCGATTACGTGTTGAATATTTTGAATACGTTTATCTTCAACAAAAGCTAATTTTTTCGCACTTTTAACCGTGTCAAGTAAAGCACGTTTGGTTGTATTGTATGAACATAAAGTATTTTGATGCTGAATACGTTTTGACCACCGTTCAAAATATGATATTAAACCACGAGAAAATTGACGATGTAAATTACAATAGTCTTCCATCATAAACATTAAATCTTTAGATACATCATAACCTAAAATATAAAAAACTTGAGATTTCGCTACAAAAAAGGATGGAGGATATACCATCATTAACAATCTGTTTGAATCCTTTTAGTAGACGAATGATATACTAAGTTGTTTCTAGTCGTTGCTAACGCGGCACTACAGTTAATTAATGCTCAAGCGGCAATATAGAGCCGCATCACTTTCTGTGGTGTGGTTAGTACGATACTACAACTAAACATTAATATTCCTGAACGTGTATGCGCACTTTGTGAACGATCTATTTCTTCCTCAAACTATTCTATTTCTCTCAGCGTTCATACCAAGGGGGTAAAAGCACCACTTCACCACTTCATTTCACTTCACTTCACTGCTGAAACGGCGCCCCTGATGGGGGAGGGAAGCAAGGGAGGGAAAGTACCATTTCACCACTTCCGCTTAACTTGAAGTGAACTTGAAGTGTTTTTTTATTGTTTCGACCGTTTCAGCAGCGTTTTACCTAGGTGAAGTGAAGTGAAATGAAGTGGTGAAGTGGTGCTTTTACCCCCTTGGTTCATACTCACCCCCATCCTGTGCATAAAATTTCGATTTCTTTCGTTGTTCATTCTCTTCTCTCTCTCTCCCTCTTTCTTTATATTCTTTGTGCAGTTATAAAATTTCACAAAGTGCTTGTACTTGTGTACAGCAATAGACGATACACATGGTCACACTAACATGTTTCGTACCCTGATGGGAGAAAACCGTTACAACTAACGATCTCGCTATTTGAGTCATTGATTCTCTTGGTATTTTTTCAAAATGACTAAGATATTCCAAAAAACAGGAATACAAAGTTTATTACGGATTTATATTATGTGCGTCATTTCTAATCACGTTTTATTCCATGATCGCATAGTTGTTTATTAATCGTTTCCTATCATTCGTTATTAGTCAATTGTTGCGTTACAACTTCTTATTTCAGAAGTTTGTATCTCTCAGTTTTCCGCATGTGCTTATCCGTTCTCATCTAAACAATGTTAAACAAGAAATTAGCAACGTTGTAATTCTCTTGTAAAAAATATATCTGTCGAATAGTATAAAGTACATAACTAACATGCACCTGTTGATCGTGCCAGGAGATGATCATCGTTGACTTGTCTATATAATCTAGTTTAACTAGATTATATAGAGTATTACTCTCAATGAGCATTGGTTGTTTGGTCAATTACAGTGAAGATAATATAGCTAGTTTCAAAGATATGTGTATTCTAATTGATCTACAAATCTTATGCACCGCAGAGCAAGTAACTGCTCCTAAACGACGCCAATGTTTCTCATCTAAACATATCTCACCTTTACTCTTACACGACAACTATGAAAATTTGCATCATCTACAACATATACAAATCTCGAATGATGGGATGGATATCCATTGATACGATCAATCGGTGATGTAAATATCTGTGCTGAAGGTTTTCTTTGGCCTCAGGGGCGTAAATCATAATACGAACATTAAGTTAAACAAAAACAAAAACAATCACATTCATTGATAATTTCGCTTTCGCAGAGAATTTGAGAAAAGTGACAAAAAAAAGCTCTTATCTTTATATTCCCATCTATGCTCACCTACATCTATATCTCATCTGCCTAATAGTCTATCCAACGTCTGACTTTAATATTTAGTACAAGGCGATTTTTTTCTGCATTTGGCTCATGTTTAGTGCGAGGTTTAATCAAGATATCAATAATGAGTTTCATTAATGTTCAATAACAGAACAATTTTGTTTAATGATGGTTGATAACGACTGTTTTCAAGTAAAACGTGCAACGAGAAACGAACAGATATCGTTGGCGTATATTTAAAATTTTTTAGAAGATATCCCTGTTAAGAAGATATATATTATTACAGAGAAATCTAGATTTTTTGTTACATACATAGATTCCAGCTTCGTGCAAGGATTGATTTTGTGTTTTGATAGTTTAAGTTCTAGTCGGTGTCCTACACCCAATGACTCATACCCTACAATTGGAGAATAGTGATGGGGTTAGAGTATGGTTTCTGTTATTCTAGACAATTACTCCTATAATGAATAGTTTGCCTAGATCAACGATATA